AGAAATACGACCTCTAAACGACAAACAACTACAAAAAAAGGATGTGGCTCTGCCCCTAGGGGTAGGGCATGCACCAAAAACAATAGGGATTATCCTTAAGGTATAAGGAATAAGTACGTAAAGTTTAAAGACGATAAGTCAAGAATTGCGCCCTGTAGGCAACATACAGACACCCAAAAAGAAAATGGGCGTGGCTCTGCCCCTGGGGGCCGGGCATGTATCAAAAACAATAGTGATGATCCTTAAGGTATAAGGAATAATTATGCAAAGTTTGAAGTGGATCCGTTAAGAAATGTGACCTGTAGACGACAAACAAATACAAAAGATAGGTTGCCAGGCAACGAAACATACGCCCACAGCAGCTATATCGTCCGGGCAGTCAACAAGAGTTGTCGCATATTTTTACTTTTTTCGGCAATGAAACATTTATAGTACATTAAAATCTAATTAAGAGTAACAACTCATTAAGTAATTATCAGAAAACCATTAGAATTTGTTTGGTTTTTATAAAGTTCTGCCCCATGCTAACGTTTAGTATACAAAACTTTTAACATCATGGATTTAGCTGTTCAAGTCATAAAAATTCATTGAAAATCACAAGACCTTAAACTCTGTGTATCAATCTGAAGTCAATAGGATGATAACTTTAGCCTCTAGAGAGTCACAAGATTTTTCAAAGTGATCAAGGGCCATAACTTTGGCAGAAATTATCGGAAATTGTTGAAAATCAATATGATTCTCTGTCTCATGACCTCAAACACTGTGTATCAATTTAAAGTCAATCGGATATTAACTTTAGCCTTTTACAAGATTTTTTGAAGTGATCAAGGGCCATAACTCTGGCAGTAATTATCGGAAATCACTGAAAATGAATAGAATTCTTCAGCTCATGACCTTAAACACTGTGTATCAATTTAAAGTCAATCGGATATTAACTTTAGCCTATAGAGCGTCCAAAAGATTTTTCAAAGTGATCAAGGGCCATAACTCTGGCAGTAATTATCGTAAATTGTAAAAATCAATAAGCTTCTTCGTTTCATGACCTCAAACACTGTGTATAAATTTAAAGTCAATCGGATATTATCTTTAGCCTCTAGAGCGTCCACACGACTTTAAACACTGTGTATAAATTTAAAGTCAATCGGATATTAACTTTAGCCTCTAGAGCGTCCACACGACTTTAAACACTGTGTATAAATTTAAAGTCAATCGGATATTAACTTTAGCCTATAGAGCGTCCACAAGCAATTGTGGACGCCGGCCGGCCGGACGGGGGGAACAACAATATACGACCACATTTTAATGTGGGTGTATAAAAAGGGTGTGGCTCTGTCCCTGGGGGTCGGACATGCACCAAAAACAATAGGGATCATCCTTAGGGTATAAGGAATAAGTATGTAAAGTTTCAAGACGCCCTGTAGGGCGCCCTGTAGGCAACATACAGACACCCAAAAAGAAAATGGGCGTGGCTCTGCCCCTGGGGGCTGGGCATGTACCAAAAACAATAGTGATGATCCTTAGGGTATAAGGAATAAGTATGCAAAGTTTGAAGTGGATCCGTTAAGAAATGCGACCTGTAGACGACAAACAAACAAATACAAAAAAAGGGTGTGACTCTGCCCCTGGGGGTCGGGCATGCACCAAAAACAATAGAGAACATCCTTAGGGTAGAAGGAATAAGTATGTAAAGTTTCAAGATGATCACTGAAGAATTGTGACCTGTAGGCGACACACAGACACACAAACAGGGGCGACGGCAATATACGTCCACATCAAGCACCTGCAACTGAAAGGACTAAACCCAACACAGATACATGCCGATGATGCCCCTTTCTTTTCCACAGTAGTGGGCTGTGGAATTTTAGCGTGGCAGAGAGATTGACCATTCAACAAATTGCGAGTGTTGTGGGTATCTCTCATGAGAATGACAAAAGTTTCTGCAAGATGGGTGCCAAAGCTCTTATCTGCGGATCAAAGACGTGTCAGATTCCTGATGTCCAGTGACAATCTGTGCCATTTTGTAGCTGAAACGTGTCAGATTCCTAATAATCTTTTGGCCAGATTTATAACCATGGATGAGACCTGGATTCATCACTTTCAACCAGAAGCCAAAAGAAGCACCCCGAGTTGCCAGCCCCGCCCAAAAGCTAAGTCAGTTCCTTCTGCTTTAAAGGTGATGGCACCAAACAGTCTTTTGGTATTCCAAGGCCATTCTGCTGATTGGCTATCTTAAAAAAGGCCAGACTATCAATGGAAGATATTATGCTGACCTTCTGAAACAGCTGCGTGAAGCTATCAAAGTTACTCACTAAAGACTTCCATCAAGACTTCTACCGGTTTAAAAAAAAGAAAAAAAAAGAAAAAAAAGAAAAAAAGAAAAAAAAAGAAAAAAAAAAAGAAAGATGGTCGTCATTTTGTCTAGTAATGATGACTTCATGTCAGCTGTGAACAACCTTTTTAGGGTGACAGAAGAAAATTTCTTCCTGACTGGCATCCAGGCCTTGCAAAATCCTTGGCAAAAATGTGTACACTTCGAAGGGGACTATGTAGAGAAATAAATGGACTTTGTAGAGGTCTTTCACAGATAGGCTTAGAACTTTTCAGCCAGCCCTCGTACTGTTCCCACAGCCTCTAGTACACAATTTCAAGTTCCCATATGATGTCCAGTATTGCTAATTGTGTCAAAGCATTCAGATGCAATTCTTCTTGCAATGTCCCATTTTTCTGCAATTTTGGTACACCAAGAAGTTGTGCAACTTCTCGACAGAACACAACTACATGTAAATCTGTCAACTACCTCTTTTCCTGTAATATCTGGGAGTACTTTTCCATCCTGAATTGTAAGTGGCGTTTCCGTTTTAAACTTGGCTTTACTTTGTTTGCATATTTCTTTCTTTCTTTTTCCTATCTCGCCTAATCGAAAACTTGTTTATATTCAAATCGTCAATACTGTGTCCAAGAGATTGAGCAGTCACTGCTAATATGAAAGTAGCATGACGCTTACTAATTTTAGATCTATCGAACGCCAATGCTAGACCAGGACACAACATTAACTCTCTAGCACTTGCTGACTCAAGTTTTACATCTTGGTATCTTTCTTTAGTGCTTTGGAACTGCTTGTCAATCATCTCCTTTTTGTTGATGAGTAGTTTCCTTTTTTATGTTTTCTTTTAGCCAACATAGTGTCTATCGAGCCCATTGTTCCTCTACCAGCATGTTCCCTTTGTGCCTTCAAAAAGTCTTTTTCTTCTTGAATGAACATCATTTTGAGGGCTTTAGGATGTGCAATATTAAATAGTTCATCCAAACCTTTACTGTATTTTCTTGATTGTCCAACTCTTTTTCACTTTTTCTTTCCATGCTCTTCTTTAGGTTCTGCCATGTTTTGTACTCTTTTTCAATAACTGGAATTAAATTCTTCTTTGATTTGTAAGGTATTCAGGGTTTCATTTTTGGCAAACGCACCTAAAAAATTTGCGTGCACCAAAGAATATGAACAAAAATACACTACAATAACGGCCATGTCGCCATGATGTTTGTTTATAGCAGAGTCTTGATTATTTAGTTGGTAAAATATCACTGAAAAAACATACATTTGTTTGTTTTGAGAAAAAGTTTCACAAACCCAAATTAGCTGGAAAGAATAATATAATGAAAAATATCCCTAAAATTCGAAAAATATCTGAAATTGTAAAACTTTGCTAGGCTTGAGCTTCCCCTAAATTTTTTTCTAATTATTTTCTCACTAAGTCTCATAATAACTCTGAGTAGCCCCTACTGCAATAAAAGTCCACATTCCTGCTTTGATTGATATGGTACTTCTTAAAATGGAGAGAATGAAATATGAAATGGCTGCAATGACTGTAATATGACAAGAGAAAAAGAAGGCTAGGCATTGGGTTTGTTTTGCCAAATTTACAGACTTAATATTAACAAAAGATAGGTTGCTAGGCAATGAAACAAAACGCCCACGTCAGCTAAATCGCCAGGACAGTCAACAAGAGTTGTCGCATATTTTTACTAAAAACGCTGTGTAAAAATTTAAAGTCAATCGAATATTCACTTTAGCCTCTAGAGCGTCCAAAAGATATTTCAAAGTGATCAAGGGCCATAACTCTGGCAGTAATTATTGGATATCGTTGAAAATCAACAGGCTTCTTCGTCTCATGACCTTAAACACTGTGTATCAATTTAAAGTCAATTGGATATTAACTTTACCCTCTAGAGCGTCCACAAGATTTTTCAAAGTGATCAAGGGCCATAACTCTGGTAGTAATTATCCGAAATCATTGAAAATCACTGGGCTTTTTCGTCTCACAACCTTAAACACCGTGTATAAATTCAAAGTCAATCAGATATTATCTTTAGTCTCTAGAGCATCCACAAGATATTTTGAAGTGATCAAGGGCCATAACTCTGGCAGTAATTATCGGAAATTGCTGATAATCAATAGGCTTCTTCGTCTAATGACCTTAAATAGTGTATCGGATATTAACTTGGCCTCTAGAGCGTCTACAAGATATTTCAAAGTTATCAAGGGCCTTAACTCTGGCAGTAATTATCAGAAATCGCTGAAAATCAACAGGCTTCTTCGTCTCATGACCTTTAACACTGTGTATAAATTTAAAGTCAATCCACAAGATATTTTGAAGTGATCAAGAGCCATAACTCTAGCAGTAATTATCGGAAATCGATGAAAATCAATAGGCTTCTTCATCTCATGACCTTAAACACTGTGTATAAATTTAAAGTCAATCGGATGTTGTGGACGCCGGCCGACCGGGGGCAACAACAATATACGACCACATTTCAATGTGGGCGTATAAAAATGAATTTTAAGGACCACACTATAAAACATACTATTTTCTTACCTTAATATCTAAAGTTAAAACATGAATTTTCAATAAAAATGCCACTCAAAGAGTGAGAATCAGAGTATTGTACTCAATCTTTATGATAATCTATAATAATCCATGGACAAAAATAAGTTACTTATGTACCTGTAACTGTTGATTAGATGAATGAGGATCATCATTATTAGTGAACAGTAATATTCTTTTATAATTTACTTTCTGTGGTCTGAAATATTCAAATATAATTATCAGAACATTGTCGATTATTTGAAATTGGTTAATATTTACAGGAGCTAAATTGCCAATATTTGGGACCTAGAAATAGACATAAATGGGTTGCAGCGCATATAATAATGTAATATGAATGTGTATAAATTGATTAACATTCAATTGTTTCCGTTTTTACTCTAATTTCAAATCAGTTATATTTGGCGAAATACGCCAGAAGTCTCAATCGAATGGCAATCTCTAGTGCCTGGTTATTCCAGTCTACACCGATAGTATTTATTGCGCATGCTCTCCAGATAAGAATGTGTTGTCGCCGTTTGACACGATTTGTGGAATATGTCTAGCCTCGTTCTTTGAGTCTCTTGTTACAAATAGTGCTGAAATGCATTATCCGACCGGGAACATGCCCAATCGGACATCAAAACATGGTGAATAATATTCAAATTTCTAAAATTAATATAGTTTACTGAGTGTATAACTACCACTCAACCCAATTATCGTTGATAACACGCTGGATTGATTAGGTAATTAAGTTATCAATGTATTTATCGTGTTATACCGCCTATACACCTACCTTGATTAACTAGTTAATCTGCCTTAATCCTTTATCGGACAATTCATCAATCCAATCCTGAACAGAAGTCATTGCTTCTCCTTTGTCGGGATATGTATCAATCCAATAAGAGTCATTATAAACCTAATCAACGTGATTGACCCATGATTTCCCCATTGTTGGGTGTTTTAATTTCCTTGATGTTGGCCGACAGCACATAGAAATTAGTCATATATGTCACATATCCTAATAGTACATAACATCCCAAATCAATATGTATCTGATAACTAGACGTAATAAACGGAAATTGCTGAAATTCAAGAGGCTTCTTCATTTCATTAATTTAAATTGGATTGATGAATTGTCCGATGAAGGATTAAGGCAGATTAACTAGTTAATCAAGGTAGGTGTATAGGTGGTATAACACGTTAAATACGTTGATCACTTAATTACCTAATCAATCCAGCGTGTTATCAACGATAATTGAGTTGAGTGGTAGTTATACACTTTGTAAACTATATTTATTTTGCAATTTTGAATATTATTCACCATGTCTTGATGTCCGATTGGGCATGTTCCCGGTCAGACAATTATGGGCGTTTGGAAAATAGCGTCGGACTTCGGAATATACCGGCGAAATCCCATCCCTGGTTGACATGCTTTGAGAGTATGTTCACAGATGAAGAACTTATCGCCCCAACAGAACCACTGAGCCGCATGTGCGACACGCAATGCGCCACACACGTGGGAGGGGTTCATTGTCAAATTTGAAACTTCAAGGAAGGGTTGATGAAAACTGCCGCTTGCTGGTTTATCCTATCCTTCTTTGCTTTCCTATCGGTTCTTGCATAAGATTTACTGTGTAGCGTAACGACTAATTGCTGAATGTCTGAGGATTGGTGGAGCAATTACTCATTATTCAGACAAAAATCAAAAAAGTCCATTTTCACTTTTAACAGTGTATCTCATTGCGAGTGAAATTGGGCCGTCAGATAAGCCACCCATATGAACTGTTTATGTTCATGTGTAGGCAATTGGCCTGTTATTAACATACAGGGGATCACGTGGCTAAGTGGGTAAGACGCTGGCTCGCTAACCTGGAGGTCCGGTGTTCGATCCCTTCATTGGCCGAGAAAGTTCATTCAGATTTTCCGGCTTGGTTTCCCCTTGTCAGTGATGCAGGATGGAGGGCCAGACAAGGACAGCTGTCTAGTCATTCGGATGAGACGAAAAAACTGAGGACCCGTGTACACATTGGCGTGCACGTAAAAGATCCCTTGGCAGTTGGAATTTGATATAAGAGTAGGCCGTAGCGCCGCTGCCTGGGCAAAATTTCCCTCATAGCACACTGTATGGCGTATGCCTGTCTTCATTAGCCCAGGTTAGGAGCAGAACAGTAGGACGTTAAACCCCATTTCATTTCATTTTCATATTAACATACACTGGTTACCTCTAATAAAAACAACAGTGCATTTCCGCAGTTTTGTATTGTTTCTGAATATCCCATACTTTTTTTGAAGAGTATATATAAATTTCACAAAGATTATATGATAACTTTGGGCGTTACATCGTTCACAAGGTTCAACAAAGTGAAACAAGGCCCATAACTCTAGACGTAACAAACGGAAATTATTGAAATTAAATAGGCTTCTTCATCTCACAAATGTAAACACCATATGTCAATTTTAAAACAATCGAATGATAACTTTTGGCATTAGAGCATTCACAAGCAATTGTGGACGACAGACGGACGGACAGAACGGCAGACGGACGAAGGTGACGGCAATATACGTCCACATTTCCATGTGGGCTAATAAAAATGGAATCTGGTCAGAATCTGCTTCTAAAATCCATGAAAGATAGGTTGCCAGTAGTGATGTGCGTTTTTCGGTTTAACCCTACGGTATCGGTTTTTACATATAAACCGAAAACCGAACCGATAAAACAAAAAAAAACTGTGTGTTTTGGTTTATTTTTTTCCAAGTTCCTAATTTTTAATTTACCCATTTTTCATTTCGTTTACTTAATAATTCCAAAATTTTAATGTAGCCACCACTTCCATTTTTATTTTCAATCAACCAGACCCCCTATGTATAGAGTGGATGGCCTAGACTATTTATTTTCTCAATTCGGTTCGGTTTATAATCCAAACTTTTATGCAAGCCTAAGCTCGAAGCCAGTTGTCAATAACGCACGATGGCTTCCTCTAAAAGTAAAATGTCTCCATGGCTTGCTCACTATGAAAAATTAGATGACACAAAATGTAGATGTAATCTTTGTAAAAAAACATATTTCTGCTGCATTCGGAAACACATCCAACTTGAAGGCGCACCTAAAATACAAGCATGACAAAGAATATTTAACAATTTTGAGTCAGGTTGAGAACAACAACACCCGAAAACGGCAATGCGTAAGTTATGTTTTTAAGTTGATAAACAAGCTAAAAGACCACATGGCAAATTTTACTCACACCCAGTAAGGTGTAAGGATTTTAGCATTCTGCAACAGACTGCCATTTATTCATAGGTTGGTCAGGGAAATAGATTAGAAAATAAAATGGTTGACAAAAATTAAAAATGGCATGGTTTATTCTTTGATATCTTTTCTAGTTTCCAAGTATTCCTATAAAATAACCATAAATCAGTACATTCATAATACAGTGTTTAAATGAATAATAAAAAAAGAAACCGAAACCAAGGTTTTTTGCCACAGAAAAACCGAAAACTGAAACCGAAAGAAAATTTAAACAAGCCAACAGTGAGGCTGATGTCCCCCGCCGAAATCCCAAAATAAATAGATAACACATTTATTATTCTCAAAAGTACAGCAATCAAACTGATTATCAACTATACACACTAAGTTTCATCACTCTCTATCAGATAAAATCAAAGTTATCTTGTCCCAAAGCATTGACCAATGAAATTGTTTAGCTCTGCTTAGCTTTAGCTCGAAATGTTAATCATTGAACTCAGTCAAGACATTCACCTAATGAACATCTACATCAAGTTTAAATATTCTACCCCAATTAAAGCAGAGTTGTTATGTTCCAAAGTCTTGACCAATCAAATTGCTTATCGCTCCTTTCCCTTAGCAGAAAATGCCCATTATCGAACTTAGTCAAGGTATTGTTGTAATGAAACTATACACCAAGTTTCATCACCAGGGACGTAAATGTGGGGAAGAAAAATAGTCGGTCGCAAAATCAGTGCAGTCGGTCGCAAAATAAGAGCAGTCGGTATCAAAATAAGTGCACACTGCATACGTCACGCTACTCACGCAAAACTTTAGTATAAAATAACCTTGTCAAATGCTGTGTTTCACTGTTATTCTGTTGTGTGTATGTTGGTCTATGAACAAATTTCTCCCAGGAAGAAAAATAGTCGGTCGCAAAATCAGTGCAGTCGGTCGCAAAATAAGAGCAGTTGGTATCAAAATAAGTGCTCACTGCATACGTCACGCTACTCACGCAAAACTTTAAATAACCATGTCAACTTATCATGTTTGAAAAAATGTTGTGTTTCACTCTTATTCTGTTGTGAGTATGTTGGTCTATGAACAAAATTTCACCCAGGGAGAAAAATAGTCGGTCTCAAAATAAGTGCAGTCACTGCAGTCGGTCTCAAAATTATGCATCGGCGACTCAATGAATTAATGAGGTAAACAAACAATGCCAGAATAGATCCCAAATACTATGTATTTGCGTGAATCTGTGAGACTAAATTGCAAACGTCACACAAAACTATATTATATAAAGTTATAGTGTCCCAAAGCATCAACCAATCAAATTGTTTATCTACTTAATTAGAACTAAAGTTATAGTGTCCCAAAGCATCAACCAATCAAATTGTTTATCTCTGCTTACCCTAAGCGGAACGGACAGACAGACGGACGAACCCATTTTAATAGTTCCCTGCTTTCTTCGAAAGGCGGGGGACAATAAGCATGAACATTTACTCAATTCGAAGATCAACCAATCAAATTGTTTATCTCTGCTTACCATAAGCGGAACGGACAGACAGACAAACAGACAGACGGATGAACCCATTTTAATAGTTCCCTGCTTTCTTCGAAAGGCGGGGGACAATCAAAGTAGGAGAGTTATTGTTTTCCAAAGTCTCGACCAATCAAATTGCGTATCGCTCTGCTTACCCTGAGCAGAAAATGCTCATTATCAAACTTAGTCAAGGTATTACTGTAATGAAACTATACACCAAGTTTCATCAATCTCACTTAATTAGAACTAAAGTTATCGTGTCCCAAAGCATCAACCAATCAAATTGCTTATCTCTGCTTACCCTAAGCGGAAAATGCTCATCTTCGAACTCCATCTTCGAACCTAATCAACACATACACCAAGTTTGAACATTCTAGCTCAATTAGGAAGAGAGTTATCGTGCCCCAAAGTATCAACCAATCAAATTGCTTATCTCTGCTTACCCTAAGCGGAAAATGCTCATCTTCGAACTCCATCAAGGCATTGACCTAATAAACACATACACCAAGTTTGAACATTCTAGCTCAATTAAAAGTTATCGTGTCCCAAAGCATCAACCAATCAAATTGCTTATCTCTGCTTACCCTAAGCGGAAAATGCTCATCTTCGAACTCCATCAAGGCATTGACCTAATCAACACATACACCAAGTTTGAACATTCTAGCCCAATTAGGAAGAGAGTTATCGTGTCCCAAAGCATCAACCAATCAAATTGCTTATCTCTGCTTACCCTAAGCGGAAAATGCTCATCTTCGAACTCCATCAAGGCATTGACCTAATAAACACATACACCAAGTTTGAACATTCTAGCTCAATTAGGAAGAGAGTTATTGTGTCCCAAAAAGTGTGACGGACAGACAGACGGACAGACAGACAGACGGACGGACGAACCCATTTTAATAGTCCCCTGCTTTCTTCGAAAGGCGGGGGACAAAAACGCACATCACTAGTTGCCAGGCAACTAAACATACAACCACAGCAGCTAAGTTGTCTGTGCATTCAACAAGGGTTCACACGTTTCTTTTGTTGGTAATGAAGACATTTACAGCACACTAATATCTGATTAATAGTAAGAATCCATTATGTAATCATCAGAAATGGATAAAAATTGTGACCTCTGGAGGGTCTACAATCAGGGACCATAATCCAGGAATTTACAGTCCAATATGCGTGAATATCGAAAGGAGAGATAGAGAGAAATGGGATTTAACGTCAACTCGACACAAACTAGGTTATTTTGGGACTAGAATATATCGAAAGAACAAAGATCTTTGGGATATAAACATATATGTTAAGTTTTATCAAAATCAAATAAAAATGGTGACCTTTGGAGGGTCCACAACCTTGGTATTACATACTTTTACAAAATTCAAACTGAACCGTCATTATAGTATAACAGTGATATATTTGAACTTTATTCTTAAATTGGATAAAATTGTGACCTCTAGAGGGTCCACAAGCTACAAACGTGATTTTTCATACAATTAGGGGCCATAATCCAGGATGTTATGGTCCAATATGCACAAATATCGAAAGGAACCAAGACCTCTGGGTTATAAACATACATTTTAAGTTTTATCAAAATCAGATTAATAATTGTGACCGCTAAGAGTGACCACATGCTAAAAACTGGATTTTTCGTACTATCAGGGGTCATAATCCATTAGGTTACATTTTGATGCAGGCCAATATCGAAAGGAACCAAGATCTTTGGGATATAAACCGATGTTTCAAGTTTTGTAAAAATCTGCTAAAACATTGTGAACGGACACACACACGGACGAGGACGATGGCATAATACATCAACATGAAAATGTGGGCGTATAAATACTTATATATGCATTGCCTGTTGGAAATCTTTATCAATTAAATAATCTATTGTTTAAACTAAAGGAAAGGTTATAAGTCACTGAGATTATGTTGATCTTAAAGTGATAGGAAGTGTAGATAAACCCTTTAAAATAACCATAGTATTTCAATACAATCTCCTCTATTTAGTTGCAAGAGTACAATTATATTACTTACAAATTAGAAAACATGTTAGCACAAGCCCACAAAGCTTCACTGATAGAGTATGATTCATTATGTCCATACTTAGTACCAAACTTCTTATAGCCACCTATAAAAACACATAGATATAAAGAAAAGGGTGCTTCATTTCAAAACTACATTTCATACAAATTTATGATTCATGTGTATTATGATTCTCGTGATGACTTCATAATTCTTTAATTTAATACAAAAGCCAAGAATTTATAATTAGTGTACAAATCACAAACAAGTTTATAGTAATATTCAAATTATAAACTTACCATGAACCATATCTTCTATTTCTAATATTCTTTCTGCTCCTGGTTGCTCTAAATTCTATATTTAAAGAGAACATAAAGTGACCATATAAAAATTGTATGTGCTTGAGAGAGAGAGAGAGAGAGAAATGGGGTTTAACGTCCACTCGACACAAACTAGGTCATTTCGGGACTAACATATGGTTTAATTTTATTTCAATAATTCGCTTCCGCGCAGGGGTCTTTAGCAGTGGGAGGAAACCGGAGGACCCAGAGAAAACCCATGAGGTTGGACAGGTGACCCTACTCCTTGTCACGTACAACCGGGGATTCGAAACCATGCCAGTCGACTCAATGACAGACTTTATGATACAGCGTGCGCACACTCTGCTTACCCTGAGCAGAAAATGCTCATTATCAAACTTAGTCAAGGTATTACTGTAATGAAACTATACACCAAGTTTCATCAATCTCACTTAATTAGAACTAAAGTTATCGTGTCCCAAAGCATCAACCAATCAAATTGCTTATCTCTGCTTACCCTAAGCGGAAAATACTCATCTTCGAACTCCATCAAGGCATTGACCTAATCAACACATACACCAAGTTTGAACATTCTAGCTCAATTAGGAAGAGAGTTATCGTGCCCCAAAGTATCAACCAATCAAATTGCTTATCTCGGCTTACCCTAAGCGGAAAATGCTCATCTTCGAACTCCATCAAGGCATTGACCTAATAAACACATACACCAAGTTTGAACATTCTAGCTCAATTAGGAAGAGAGTTATTGTGTCCCAAAAAGTGTGACGGACAGACAGACGGACAGACAGACGGACGGACAGACGGACAGACGGACGGACAGACAGACGGACAGACAGACGGACAGACGGACGAACCCATTTTAATAGTCCCCTGCTTTCTTCGAAAGGCGGGGGACAATAATTCATATAAATTTCATACAGATTGGATGATAACTTTTGTCATTCGAATGATCACAAGATTCACAAAGTAAAACAAGGGCCATAACTCTAGATATAATTGACGGAAATTGCTGAAATTCAATAGATCTCCATTTAACAAATTTAAATGATGCATATAAATTTCATACATATCAGATGATAACTTTCATCAATTGAGCATTAACAAGTTTGAACAAAGTGAAACAAGGGCCATAACTCTAGAAGTAATTATTATAAATTTGTTGAAATTCAATAGGCTTTGTGGTTTCACTAATCTAAATGATGCATATAAATTTCATACAGATCGTTTGAGGGTTCACAAGGTTCAGCAAAGTGAAACAAGGGCCATAACTCTAGACACCAGCGGCTGCCAGGCAGGATACGCCCACATTTTCGAGAGATGGATAGAGAACAAGCTAAAAAGAAAGTGATTTTTCCTAGAATCAAGGGCCATAATTCAGGAAATTACAATTAGATATGTGCAAATATCAAAAGGAACCGAGATCTTTGGGTTATAAACTTACATTTCAAGTTTCAACAAAATCGGATAAAAATTGTGACCTCTATAGGGTTCACAACCTTGATATACCATATTTTTACGCTATTTGAGAACGAAGGGCGGCCATTTTGTCTGTCAGTTTTGTGCTGATTTTCACGAAATTCAAACTCAGCTGTCCTTAGGGTGTAACAGTGATATAATGATATGTTTTTTTTAAATTGGATAAAAATTATGACCTCTATAGGGTCCACAAGCTAAAGGCGTGATTTTTCGTACAATCAGGGGCCATAATCCATGAAGTTACAGTCCGATACATGCCAATATCGAAAGGAACCAAGATCTTAGGGTGATAAACCTATATTTCAAGTTTCCTTGAAATAGGATAAAAATTGTGACCTGTAGACTGTTCACAAACAATTGTGGACGGACGGACAGGGGCAACGACAATATACGTCCACATGAAAATGTGGGCATATAGGCCTGCAGCCAAAATATCTAGAGTGAAGTTCCGCTACATGGTCCTCCCAAAAAATACAGAATTTCGGAAATGCATTTAATGGTAAAAGGAATTATCTCCCTTTATGGAAAATATCAATAATCATTGATAACAGTATTTTGTTTAAAGAATTTATTTGATAAACTAAATAGGATTTAACTACAGACTAGAGCCTATATAAGTTTAACTTTTTTTTCAGATAGGATTTGAGGCTAAAGGTCTAACAAATATTTAACCTGAAATATAGCATCTACATATATTTAGTTTTCTCACTAAAATAGATATGGCCAAAATTAAATAATACTGTAAAAGGAGTCACAATATTGTAATTGAAGAGAAAAAATAATGAAGATGAGCATACGTCATACGTGATACTTGGGGAGGGGGGCATTGTACGTGTACAGCTAGTATGTAAATGTCATCATCAGTGTGCAAGGGAGCCGCGGTGACTCAGTAAAGGGTTGGCTCACTTATCGGACTGCCAAGGGTTTGATCCTAGTCTGACGTAGTTCCACCTTGTCCGTGGCTCACTAATCAGGAGATCCGGGGTTTGATCCCCGTGTTGACCTAGATAGTTCCCCAAACTTTCCAGCTTTGTTTCACCTTGTCAGTGGTGGGGTGGGGGCTGTGATGGGCAGCGTCTAGTTATTTGGATGGAATATAAAGTGTAGACCGTAACGATGCTGTATGGCGGGCGTATACATACGTCTTCATTATCCCAGTTGATACTGAACAGTTAGGCATTAAACTCCATTTGATTTTTTTTTCTCTTCATTACAATTGCCACTCCCATACAGTATTATTTAGCATTTGCCATATATCTATTTTAGTGAGAAAATTATATATAGATGCTTTGTTTCAATTCAAACATTTAACCCCAACTCTTATCTGAATTAAAAGTTGTCAGATATATTAGTAGAAATACTGTTTTGGGAGAACTTATATGTCCCCCCCCCCCCACACCTCCAGATTCCTTGGACCATCCATTTTTCGGGCAATTTATTTCAGTTTTTCGGGCACAAGCATCAGAGAATGGAGAATGCGATCATATCTCATGGAAATATAGTTGTATAATTGTGTAATTAATCAAAAATAAACTACCATCACAGCTTTGTGGAAAATTCATTTTAGTTAATGATTGATTCACTCAAAAAATTTGGGTGACAAAGAAATTTTTCGGGCAAATAGGCTCACTTTTTTTCTTATATCTATATTTGTTAGCAAATTACACACTTATAGATACGGTTTCAGTTTAAATATGTTTGTAATTCAGCCTTAAATATCTGAACTAGAGGTTTACAGCTACCTGTAGTAAAAATAATGTAGGGCCTAATTGAAAGGGTATGTAGGTGTAGGTTTATATTTTAGTGGAAAAAATAACATGGTTTCAATGCGATTTACAAAACTACGGACAAAGTCCGGTCCCCATTACTTCATAGACATATTGTTCAACCAATGTCAACATATCTTCTTGCTCATCAAACTAGACCCATAATTTCTGAGTAAACGCCCGCTCACCAACCCTTGCAGTCCCCTGGGACCCCATTAACGATATAAATATTGGGCTTGTGTGCTCACACATGGTCTTGTGCGTCATACAGCATCAGCAGTCAACACACACCTGAAATACGGTTATTAATTGCAGACATTTGACAGAAAGGGAGATAACTCTCTATTACCGTTAATGGATTTCCAAAATTCTGTATGTTGACTTGTCCATTATGTTTTCGGAATTTTGGTTTAAATCAAAATTTAACCAATAGCATATTCTTTGCTGAAGATGAAGGCATTGAGTGTTTTCGCCAATATTTAATTTTATGTCAACTTCACAATTGTTAGTATAAATAAAGCATTTACTTGAAAATTATCACAATTTTCATCTGGCCCTAAATCGAGTTAGAGCAAACATTTTGCTTGGAACTCTCTGGATTTGTGTTCCTAGTGTTATAAGCTTTCCAAAAATGTATAGTTTGTTTATTTGGGCGGACCATGTAGCGGAATTGTGTTTCTAAGCAAGCTAGAAATTTCGGCTGCAGGCCTAATATAATAATAAACGGAAATTGCTGAAATTCAATAGGATTCTTCTTTTTACTAATTTAAATGATACATATATACTAAACAACAAAAGAAACATCATGCTGATATGTTACTCTGAATAGACGCATTGCATAAAACTTGCCAAATGTTTTTATTGTATATTTGTAACCACATCTCAAACTTTACCTGAGCAATAAGGCTCCTTCCCAAACACAGAATTGAACCAGGGGCATAATCCAGTAAGTTACGTTCGGATATGTGTGATTATCAAAAGGAACCAAGATCTTTATGATACAGATAGGTTGCCAGGCAACGAAACATACGCCTACAGCAGCTAAATCGTCCGGGCAGTCAACAAGAGTTGTCGCATATTTTTACTTTTTTCAGTAATGAAACATTTATAATACATTAAAATCTGATTAAGGGTAACAACTCATTAAGTAATTATCAGAAAACCATTAGAATTTGTTTGGTTTTTATAAAGTTCTGCCCCATGCTAACGTTTAGTATACGAAACTTTTAACATCATGGATTTAGATGTTCAAGTCATAAAAATTCATTTAAAATCTCAAGACCTTAAACTCTGTGTATCTATCTGAAGTCAATCGGATGATAACTTTAGCCTCTAGAGCAACACAAGATTTTTCAAAGTGATCAAGGGCCATAACTTTGGCTGAAATTATCGGAAATTGTTGAAAATTAATATGATTCTTCGTGTCATAACCTCAAACACTGTGTATCAATTTAAAGTCAATCGGATATTAACTTTAGCCTCTAGAGCATTTACAAGATTTTTCTGAAGTGATCAAGGGCCATAACTCTGACAGTAATTATTGGAAATCGCTGAAAATCAATAGGCTTCTTCGACTCATGGCCTTGAACACTATATATAAATTTAAAGTCAATTGGATATTAACTTTAGCCTCTAGATGGACGGATGGGGGCGACGACAATATAAAAACCATTAAAGACAACCCAGCGAAGCGTGGAATACGTCCACACAGCAGCTTTGTGTCAACTACAGCTTATCCGAAAGGATCTAAGATCCTTAAGAAAACTAATCTGTAGGGTTTATCCTATTATGATCC